GGCAACCACCTGTGGAGGAGGATGATGCAGAACCGGGGGAGTTGGAGATCATGAAGGAGGAATCGCCAGAGGAAGAACGCTTTCATCAAGAACTACAAGACTCCTTGAAGAAGGTCCCAGTGAAACATGTGGTGCATGTAGAACCCATTGTGTCCCGGGCGAAGGAACAAGTGGCGATGCAGAAGGCATTGGCGCACTTCAAGGCCATGGGGATCTATGTCAATCGCCTACATTCGGACCGGGCCAAGGAGTTGATCTCTCGATCAATGGCAGCTTGGTGTGCGAAAAATGGAATTGTTCCCACAACTACGGCAGGAGATGATCCGGCTTCCAACGGACATGCAGAATCTGAAGTACACCAATTTTAAATCAAAAGAAGAGTACGCCTCAAGCTGGCTGAACATGGCTGCGAAGCAACTTCATGGCCGGACGCGATCCGCTACGTGGCGGCAGAACGTCGTCGTCGACAGCTGGAGGAATTGGGGGTGCCTTGCCTTCCTATGCTACCTTATCGGGGGAAGGTGTTGGTCAAGGTCAAAAAGTGGCACAAAGGTGGAGGACTTGTTGCACCATTTGTGGAAGCACGAGTGTTGTGTCCCAGTCACCTGGTCAATGGCGGTTGGGTGGTGCAACTACAAGATGGTCGAGTTCTTCATGTGAGGGAAGCGGCGCAAACAAACCAAGAAGGCGAACAACTTCGCATTCAACAAGGGGTACAAGGGGACATGGTCCAACTTGAAGAAGATGATCGCCCTGGCCAACCTCACCGGAGATTGACTGGCAAACAGCCTTTAGGGAATACTCCACGCTTGGGCGAAACTACGGCGGCGGTCACTGCTGCGGGTCCGGCTTCAGCGGGGGGGGAGTATTCTTCGTCGTCTTCATTGAAGGAGCCAAAAAGTTCGACCTCGAAACTATGGGAAGATGCACCAGAGAGGTTCCCGAGGTCTTCAACAGCAGCATCAGCTTCGGGAGTGAAGGCTATGACAGTGGGAGTTCCCGCTGAAGGGCCCTATAGTGACGAAGATGGTGTTGGGAGGTAGTTGCCCATGGAGCTCGTGAAGGAGACGTGGGAGTGGCACCACATGCGACTACAAGAGCAATTGTCCAACTTGGTGGATGGGGTTCCTCGCAATGCTTCACAGGGGGCTCAACAAGGACAAGAGGTGGAGTTGTTTGTGGGATGGCGGGATGAACTGGAGGACAACCTGATCCAATTGGGTAGAGTGGAATGGGACACTCGCATCCATCTTAGCAGCCTTCAAGTTCAGGAATCTGATGTCCTGCAAACGGTCACGGTACCTCTTCGAGCACATCCTCAAGATTGGATTCCAGCTTTTCAATATGAATACGATGTACTCGTGAAAGACACGCAGGCAGTACATCCTGTACCTCGTGAAAGTCTTCCTCCCGTGCTGAATTAGTACCTGGCAAAATGGTGTGCGTGCGCAAGGGAGGAAGTGGCGCGCATCGCGCGCGGGCTGTCATATGCGGAAACATGACATCACCAACGGCAGATCCTGCACCTGGTCCAGCGGGAAGTTACGCCAGCGGAGCTGACGGCACTTTGATCAGATGTGCAGTACGTCGTGCAGCTCATGAACGATGGATGATGTCAGCGCTTGATGTCAAAAGTGCCTTTTTACAGGCACCAAGGCCTACCGCTCCTGGCGCTGCTCCAGTGGCGGTGGTTCCGCCCAAAACCATGTCACAGTTGGGCATCTGCCCGGAAAATGAAGTGTGGATAGTCCACAAAGCACTATACGGGCTCCAGACGTCACCCAGCTTCTGGGCACTACACCGGGACGCCATGTTCAACAAGTTCGAATGGGTGGTGGAGGGTGTGCAATACAAGCTTCAACCCACAAAGGAACGAAACCTATGGCGGGTCCTGCGAGGAGGTTGGCCTGATGCTGGTCTACGTGGACGACCTATTGGTGATGGGTACGACAGCTGTTCACGATGGGTTGGTGGCTCGCATACAAGAGGAGTGGAAGACTTCGAAGCCGGAGCTGGTGAACTCTGAAGAATGGGTGCGTTTCTGTGGCTTCGAGATGAAGTACCAGGGCGAGGAACTCTTGGCGGGACAACCCTCGTACCTACAAGATCTACTCCGTCGCCGAAAGATCACAACCAAAAGGTCCACACCGCTGCCAAAGGAACATGCTAGCCTTGTGGAGGACGAGGAGGACGTCAAGATTGAGGAGGTTCGCCAGGCTCAGGCCATTGCTGGAGAGATTTTGTGGGTTGCGGTGCGGAGTCGACCGGACCTGGCATTCGCCATTGGGGCACTGGGGAGAGCAGTGACTAAAAGGCCACGTTGGGCTTTACAGACAGGCTACTACATCTTGGAGTACCTGAACGCCACTGACGAGTGCTTCTTGGCCTATGGGAATTGCAAAGAGCAGGACCGGGGCCCCGACCAAGCCTTGGCTCGAGAACGCAGCATGAACCTGGTGGAGATCTACTGCGATGTGTCCTATGCCCCGCAAGGAGAAAAAAGTGTTCAAGGCATTGTGGCCATGGTTGGTGGTGGAGTGGTTCAATGGGAATCCTCAAGGCAGAGCTGTATGGCATTGTCGACGGCAGAAGCCGAGTTGTTGGGCTATATCGAATCGTCGGTGATGGGTGACAGCCTACAGGCCTTGATGACTGAAGTGTTGGGGGTGGATGGATGAACCGCCGGCAGTGATCACCTATGGAGACAGCCAGGCGGCCATCGCCATCATCCGACAACCTGATGGTCCGTGGCGCGCTCGCCATCTACGATTGCGCTCACAGGCGTTGAGGGAGAGGTCACGCCTGGGAACTTGGCAGATCTACCACCTGGAGGGAACGAAGTTGATTGCTGACTTCCTCACTAAGGCCATTGCAGTGAAAACAGCATGGCAGCGCTTCAGGAAGTTCATCCACATGGTGGACCTGGGGGAGAATGACATCGACCAGGAGGCTGAGGTTCGGGAGGGCGAGAATGATGGTGGAGTGCGATTGGCAAAAGTCGCACTATGCTTGGCCAGCTGCGCAGCTTTCTCAGGGTGGCCAAACCAAATCGTCAAGGTGGCAGTGGTGGCTTCTCTGAGCGTGGCTTTAGCAGCTGAGGCGATTAGGGTTTTTGGTAGGAAGGGGGTCAACGCTGGGGATTCAAAACCACGTGTTTTCCAGGGTCAGTACAACCATAGCCGTTCCGGGGGAGAATCCCTAGTGGCGACGCGACCCAAATTGTGTACCCTGCGAGCCGGGCTTGCAAGGGAACAAACAGACCAAGAAGGGTCGCATCAAGAAGAAAAAGAAAAAGAAGAAAGTTCAAGAAAAGAACAAGAGGCCAGAAATGAAGAGGCGTCGGGCCGCACGCCCGGGTCTGGGACTTCGGTGTCCCAAAATTGGGAAGACCCCCACAGTAGCCTGCAGGCTCCCGATATCGAACTCGAAGCCGCGAGCGCTCGCCATGGCATTTGGGGAAAGCTGCAGCTGCGCTTTGGCCGGGCTAGCGAGGTTGAAGAGTCCGGTTACCAGGGCGGAGCCACATCGTCTTCTTCTTCGGCAACGACTGGACGGCAGAGGGGATCGAAAGCGGTCAGGGAAGAAAGCCCGCCCGTGAAGTCTCCATGTGCTGCCGAAGTATGTGCAAGGGGTGTCAGGGCCATTGCCAAAACCTCCACCTGTGCTGCCGAAGTATGTGCAACATGTCAATGAAACCATCGAGGGCCTGAAGTCCGGGTACTATCCACGGAAAAGCCCACCGACAGAGCTGATGGGTGACTCTGGAGGCAAAGCAGCGGCGCGGGGGGCGGCGGCCATGGGGACTACATCCAAAAGTTCGTCTTCGTGTTCAGGCCAGGAGGTGTCCAAGCGACCGGCTCGATTGGGATCGGCGTGGCCAGAAGAATATCCTCCTTCGGTGGTGGCACCAAAGCCTGGACCTCTTCCACATCCATCTGAAGGGCCTCAAGATGATCCACACAGAGCTTATGGGATCGACCTCATTGGTGTCAGGTGCCTCGGCTGGTTCCGCCAGTGGGAGACGAGGGAGACACTTTGGTGATCCAACCGGAGCTCTTCGACAAGGTGCAGCGACTGGTGGATGAGGAAGCCACGAAATTCCGACCACTTCCAAGGACAGATGCTTGGGACTATCTTCGCCTGCCGCTGGAAACGTGGATGGTCCGACGGCACAGTTTGAGGGTACAGAGATTTCACCCGGAGCATCGATCAACTCCCGAAGACATGAGGGATCTCGAGTACCTCAGGGTGACGGTGGCTTGGCTGCCCAACCAGAACACCATGAAGTTTTCTGAGCGGCTGATCTATGTAGACGCCGAGTGGCACAAGGATGGTCTGCCGAATCTGCACGGCAAATGGCGCGGATTCAGCTTCTTTTTGGTCAAGGACCGAATGACAGTTGCGAACTAGTCGCAAGGGGGAGCGTGAGTCAGCAGGAACCACGTGAGACCCACAACATGGCGAAAAAAACCGCCACAACGTTTGGCTCAAGAAAAGGACCGCGCACACATTTGTGACGTGACTCCCATGAAAAGAAAGAGCCTGTGCAGGGCGGAAACCAAAAAGGGAACAATCGCGGGACCAGAATGCTAGCCAGAACTTCCGGGCTTTGGGTTATAGGACGCCACGCCACAACACTCATGTTGAAGCAATGTCAAAGGCGGTGCCAACCAAAGTTCGTTGCATCCAATTACAGTGAGCAGCCGACCGTACTGACAAAAAGAGATTGTCAATTCGGTGACGCAACACAAAAGCGCAGCTGCACAGAAAGCGGCGCTAGCCTTACCCAGACCATTTAGCAAATCAAAAAATTACGCTACTTGCAACAAGCCCACAAGTCTTAGATGAGAACCTATGGGTGCAGGGGATGTCCAGGGGCGATGGTGTTGAGGATTGTTCAAGGACTATCATTGTATAATACTATATACATGTTTCATTCTCATCTGATGCATCGGCGCCCTCTTCCTGAACCAACCTGCTAGTCCTCTTTGGGGGCCGACTTCCATGGCAATCGTCTTCCCCACGATGCCTGGAAGCTCCACTTGCACGCGGGAGCCCTCATGCTGTTTTCTCGCAAGTACTTGCACAATGACGCACACATCATAATAATAGCCCGCCTGCACTTGATTGGAGAATCGTGATGAGCTATGCGTTTTCCAAAACATCCGGCGACACTTGCATACTTTGACCTAAAGAACCTCTAACATCCGCGCGTTGCATTGATGTGTGTCTCACAACTCACAAACGATTTTGTTGAGCTAACAAAAGCAGAGGCAGAGCAAGTTGATGCGAATGTGGTGGTTAATAGGCTTTTTAGGCCTTGCACATTGACAAGTTTTGGTGTTCTTGTCCGTCGGAACAAGCTCGCGTTTTCTCGGGGGGCGTAGAGCTTGTGCCTTGGCAAGTTGCGGCAGCAAGTGTCACAATGCCCCGTGGACGCCGTCGACGTCTCCTTCTCCCGCCGGTAGCTCGTGCGCACGCCAGGTCAAAAGCGATTGAAGGTTTGGCTTCTCTGGTTTGGCTGGTCCGACTGGCCCTCCTGCGTTGATCCTGTCTTCCTCCATGCTTCACACAACACGCAGACCATGCAGCGTATGGAATCTGGATCTGTTCGCGGTCACTTGCTCGAAAGCTGCTTGTGCACTTGCAGTCAACTCTCTTTTGCTTTCATCGACTCCAATGTGCCTGACACTCCACTAGCCTCTTCTTCCCCCACTTTGAACCAATCTTGTAGAAAGCGTGCGCGGCTCTCAAACTTCGAAGCAGCCTCTCAGCAGCGAGCTTGATGTCATTCACTCGAACGCGGTCTGGGATGGCACTTCTGCCATAGGCACTTCCATTCCTTCCCTCGTTCTGCTTCTGGTAAACGTACTCCCGGATACAAGTGCCCATGTCGAGTGGCCGGGAACACTCGATCTGTCTGACATAGCTCTTCAATCTCTGCTTCTCGATTTTCAAGACTGTCCAGCGGTTGTGTCATCTTGAGTAGCTGCGGTGAACCGCCATACTTTTCGATCAAAGTGAGCGGCAAGCCTTCTTGAAGAGGGGGACGTACTGGGGGCGTTGGAAACACTGGCTCCAATGGTGGCCATCCACACTGCCCACATTCCGTGAGAGTTCGAATGTAGCCTCCCACTAACCAAGCCCAGCGGCACCTTGACATCACCGTTGATCAGGGATTGATCCTTCCCATCAATGGACACTCTTGCCCTGAGCAAGTGACCGCAAACAATATGGGTTGGGCGACTGCGTTGATACAGGTCGCCTTCGCTTGAGAACTACTTCTCTCTCATCCTCTGCTTGTGTCAGGACGCTCGCATCAAGATGCCCAAAAGTTTGGGTCCCTGAGCACCTTGCAAAAAGAGGACTTCTTCCTCCTCCTCCTCTTCTCACCCGCGTACACTGTCTTGATCGACGGTTGCATAGTTGCATCTTCTCCCTCGTCGTCCTCCTCTAGGTTGTAAAACGCAACGGTTCTGTTCTTCTCTCTCCTCTTGCCTCTCCATGTGCTTCCTCGCAACTCGAATTGACCCTGCCTCCTCCTCCTCCTCAACGCCGCGAAGGTCAAAGACTATACAGGCTGCGCAGCACGTCGAGCGGCCTTCAAAGCGCTACTCTCACCCCACTCGCGGCGCTCATGCGGCTGCAGTTGGTGAAGTGGCCCTGACGCAGTGACCGCCTGAATTGGAGATTCCTTGGCGCACTCTCGCGCAGTCCTTGGAGTGGCGTGCACGACTTCCACGTATCCAACAAAACACCTCCCTCCCCTTACTTGACTCCCACCCTTGCCTCCACCCTGCTTGCCTCGTCGTTTCCTTTGCTCTTGCCCTTCTGATCCTTGTTCTTTCCTTCCCCTTTGCTATCCTTGCCGCCTTTGCTCTTGCCCTTCGCTTTGCCACTGCAGCCTGTCAAACTACCTAGGCGCCAAGCCTGCTGGATCACAATCGAAGAGAAATTCAAAGCTGCAGGCTCATCCCCCCTCGGAATTGTCCGCGCCGGAGGCTAAAAATACGGCTTCTCAAACCCAGGTTCAGGTGAACCTTGAGGGGCCCTGACAGATTGCCTCAAAACAGTTGGGCCTGTCCGATGAAAGCTTGCCTCCCTGGCCAAAGTACCCCTCCAGCTTGTGAATCTGAGGCAGGATCGAAGACTTCATGTTGAAGCTGGGTAGAACGTGTTTCATTGCAGTAAGTTCATCGTCCTATTGCGGGCCTGGGGCGCAATTCGCTACAAGTGCCTCAGGGCCTTGTGCCCATTGAAGTTGTGCAGGTTCTTGATCAGGCCAACTAGTCTTCCTTGAACAAGGGTGCCCAGAAGGCTGACAACCCTGGCTTTGTCATGTTCCTTGGTATCCATCAATTCCCAGTCCATTTCATGGGTGAGGTCGTTCTCAAACTTCTCAAGCCCTTGTTGGCACCTGGCCACCACTGTTGGGGGCAACAGCGCCAATCCCGCTGTTGCAGATGGATGGCCCTGGCCGAGGACTCAACTTGGCCCGAATCTCTGTACCCCCTGCATGACCTCCTGAAGCTGACACCGCCTGAACGGCCTGGATAGCTGCATGTACCGTAGCAATCGGGCGATTTCAGGGAGTCCTGTCAAGTCCATCACGGCTGAACCATCCATGCTTTCCTTCTTTCCCGCAAAGGTCTGGTCGACGCTCTTGCAAAGGAGGATGTGGGTGCTCCTCCTTCTCCTCTAGCAACTGCTCAAAAACAAGGATGTGGGCAATCTGGTAGGTCGAGGTGAGTGATCTGCAAGGTCCGGGGCCAAGTAGCCACTTGCACTGAGGTTGAGATCGCGCAACATCAGCTAATGGGTGGCTCCACAAGGACGCTGGATCAGGACTGGGGCGCGAGTGAGACTAGGTAACTAGGTTTCGGGCCTCTTCCTTAGAGTTTCGGAGCTCAAGCCAGATCAAAGAAATGGCTATCCCCGCTCCACTACCATGTGGAAACCTTTTTGATCCGTTCAAAGGGCCTTCGGTGCACTTCAGTTTGTGCGTATCATCCTTGCGACTGGGTGGAATGACCTTCGTTTGTATTAACTAGGTGAGGATAGGTGAGGTTTGTTTTTTGTGGTGCGCGGTGTGCACACTGCAAAACTTGTTTCACTCCCTTACCGTCTCGGCCAACGACAACCCGCATCGCTCCTTGCAAGGGGTGTTGTATTGGTTCCTGGCAGTCAGGGCACATGCGCATGAAATGCCTCCGCCCTCGCACATGTACATGTGATTTCAGTCCTGTGGCAATCGAATATTCTTCTGGCTCCTGACCAGTGTTTCGACGACAAACATCAAACCAGCTTGGTTGCAAGCTCCATCACAAACGAGCTCCAGGCTACTCTTTATTGATAATGCAAACACCATCAACAAGAAGCAAATTCCACTGGGAGGATGGCACAAGGTAAGCAAGGAAACTGAACTCACGCAGGATGAAATACTGATAGCACGTCGACAAATCATTCCCGCCAAACGCCACAGTCCAAAAACATATTGCAACCAACCTCACAAACTACTAATTCCAATCAAAATGCAATGCCTTCGTATCCACGCCAGCACCGCTCCAAACAAGCAAGAAGCACGGCTTGAGAAGCATGCTGGCGGTGCCACGCAGCTTACGTGCAAAAACATCGAAAAACAAGAACTTCAGTCCTGGAAGATGTTGAACCTCAATCCGGCAATGCGCTACACGCGTGCTGCGGGCGCGCAAAAAAATTGTACCAGTAGCATGCGCAACTGCAATCTGACATGCCTCTGGGCCTACACTCGTAGGGTGGGGCATGTTAACGTTTGCGTGCACTTGCGTCACGAAGTTGATGCTTCGTGGTAGATGTGGGGTGGGGTGGGGTGGGGCATGTTAACATTCGCTTGCACTTGCGTCAGGAAGTTGATGCTTCGTGGTAGATGTGGTGTAGGGTGGGGTGGGGTGGGGTGGGGCATGTTAACGTTCGCTTGCACTTGCGTCACGAAGTTGATGCTTTGTGGTTGATGTGGGGCGACGCAAAACGCGTCGATCAACATGTCCGCAGTTTTCAGTTTCGGTAGAACAACCGAGAAGATTTGCTTGAGGCGTTGGCCCGAACGTGGCCGCAAGTGTAAAGAAAATACACCTGCAAAACGCGTGCGCGCCAAAAAAAAGTGCACTTTCTGCTCTTCCCCAATCTAAATTCCACCTTACAAGTGCTGACCCTTGTGAAAAATGGGATGAAAGCACATATGATCCAAACTCTCCCAAATGAAACAATGCAAAAAATGGGAGGTTTTGAGCGCTGTCCACTTTCGCAATGTGCGAATCGCACAGGGTCACTATTAGCGGCGGTACCTTTTTGCTATCTCTAGCTTTGACGTCCAGCGGGGGCATGCCATACTGGCGTGGCCAATGGACAAATCCTGTAGCAGCTAGCTGACGCTGGCCGGCCCTCCGGGGCCCAGACGGATCAATGGATCCACGCCATCATCACTCGATGAGCGTATGGAAAGAATGATGATGATGATGATGACTGATGATTGATCCATGCTGCCCGCACTTGTTGCGGATCAGCAATCCAAAAATCTGAAGTCCGGTCTGGGACCTGGGCTCTTGATGCGCAGCCTCGGGTGAACAGGCTTTCGAACATGAAAGCAAACCTGCGACTTGTAGATGAGAAATGCACAAATTTTAGATTTGGGACAAGGTTGTCCAAGACTAAACTGCTTGGAGACGCTTGGCCTACAGTCCTACATCAACCACCCGCATGCTAAATTTCTGAGCCCTCGGCTTGTGCAGTTCCAACTGCATGCACGGCTGATGGCCTGATGGTCAAGAACACGCATGCCCTATATACCAACTTCACAGTCCCTTGCGACCTGTGAAGAGGGTTGACTAGTGCAGGCTAGTCTCTGTGGCTCACCAGCAGGAGCCTGCAGTGGCAATTTAATTCGCGCTAGGGCCCTGTCTCAGCGGGAGGTCCTCTTACACTCTCTCGCTCACCTTCAGTAGCAAATCAATATCGTTGTCATGAACTATATAAGTCTATGGGGAGCCCTATCTCGTTCACAAGCAATTACTAGTGTTGGACTAACATTCTAACAAATTGCGGGCGCGGTAGACTATTTTAAAAGGGGCCTCAAACAGCGGGCTACTGTAGCGAAGAATTCAGGAGCGTTGCCGGCAGCCTCCACGACAGTTGCTCCAACCTTGTCAGGTTTCAATTCCCTTCCCTTCCCCAGAAAAGCCTAAACTGCCCTCCTTTTGCCAGCAGCTGGATAGCAGCGTCGGGAATATAGACCGCTTTCTATTTCCTGCTTACTGTAGTTGATCTTTTTAACGCAGGCTTGTGCCATTGCACAGCGCGCTCTTGTCCAACGAACATTCTGTAGGACATTCGCTGGGGTGAAACATAACTCAGCGCACGATGCAATCTTCACACCTGGTTTGAGGTTTGAACTAGACTTGCCACTGGCGACGGTAATTCTTTGCATCCTGTAACTCACCAGGTGTGAAGAACGAGCCGAGAAGCCGCTCTGACTTGCCTTTGCAAGCTTCGCGCAAGCCCACCCGTCAACCTGAGCAGCGTGCACTGCAAAAAGCATTGCCCTGCCCACACACTCAAGGCAGTTGAAGAACAATTTGGCCATGTATGTCATTTATGCTTGTTCACCCACTTCCTCACCTTCCTGCTGCAACTGAACTGTGCTGCAGCAACAATTCAACTCGATTCACTGGCTTTGAGATTCCCACTGCCTTCACCAGTTGCAGTACCACCTCCCTCCTCCTCCGTGACCCATGGCTTTCCAGTGCCTAGGCAGGCCAAAAGGACTTCGCGGCAATTGTTTCCAGTAGGTCAGTGACCTGTTGCAGGCGCATTGCACTATATAGTTCGAAGAATCTCAGGGATGCCAAATATATTCCCCCACTGAAACGTAGAATGCCCGGATGTTTCAAAAATTTTCCAATGAAACTTAGAATGCTCCTGAAAAAAGTCTAGGGGATGTAGCAGTTTTCTATGCTTGGATTGAACCTGGCATTCTAAGTAACATCTGGCACCACTTACTTGAAAGGTACAAGACATAGAATGTCTGCACACATGCGGCATTCTAAGTTGCATCTCGTTTATCAATTCTAAATGTGAAAAGTTCAGGGGATTCTACGTTTCAGTGGAGTGCAGAGTTTCGGTTGTGAGACTTCTTAGTCAGGCTGTGAGACTGTTAGATTACACACAACACTTCAAGCCTTTCAAGCTCGGAGCCGTACGAACTTGTGCAAGCACCCCACGCTCCCCTTTTTATCCTAGACTCCTAGACAGTATCCAGGAGCTATTGGAGTGGAAAGCCGTCTACAATGATTTCCTCACAACAAACACAAAGTCAACAAGGCGCATTAAAAAAAAGTAAGCGAAGCGGACAAGGCAAGGGATAGAAAGGACAGAGAGGCGAAAGGGTGTTAAACGAGCATAAAAAGCCACAAGATGGGCAAGAAACAGGCAGGACGGGAAGGAAGGGGAAAGGCAAAAAAGGGTAAGGAAACATCATCACAATCACATCCCTAGACTCTGTCGAGGAGGCTTGCGTGGGAAAAATGTCTACTTAGAATGCCTCATGAGACCGAAGAAAACTGGAGAAACCAGGTGATAGAAAGCCCAGGAGGGGAAAGAGTACAGCAGGCAAAACCGAACAAATGGAAAGGAATGAAAAAGAACCGAAGGGAACGGGAAGGGAAACACACCGGGAAAAAGGGAATAAGGTTGAAGGCTACTGCTCAAGAGAGCATCATAAGTGACACGCGTAGATCTTGTCAAGGAGCTTTTCTGAGAGGCATGTCGCCGACCGTGGAACGGGTAGGTTGAAAACTTGGAATGCCCTCGGCAAACAATCAAGACGGCTCATGAGAAGGAAGAAGTGGGAAGTGGTTCTGGCTTGGAGGGAACGGACACGGAGGGGGAAGGGTGTTTAACAAGCCACAAGATGGGCAAGAAACAGGCAGGACTGGAAGGAAGGCAAGACAGGGGCAGAGAAAAATCATCACAATCACATCCCTAGACTCTGTCCAGGAGGTTTGAGGGACATGAGGAAAATGGCATGGGAAGAAAGTCTACTTAGAATGGGCGATAGAAAGGCAAGGAGGGAAAAAGTAGAACAGGCAAGAGGATGGGAGGGAAAGGAGCAGGCCAGAAAGAGGAGCAAAGAACAAAACAGAAAAATGGAAAGGAACGGGAAAGAGAAACACACCGGGAAAAGGGAATAGGGTTGAATGCAGCTCAAGAGCATAGTAAGTGACACGCATAGATCGCGTCGAAAAATTTTTCGGAAGTGAAAAATTTGACATTTGACATTTCAGGGGGTCCTTGAACATTCTAAGTTTTTGGATAGTTTTAGCAAATGTTAGGTTTGAGCGAGAAAGACCAAAAATAAAAGGGGTCCCCTGTACTTTTCAGGTTTATGTCACCACAGCTTTTCCGAACTTGCATTCTAAGTTTCAGTGGAAGAATAGATTCGCAATCTAGCTAGGTGATTCCTGAAATACGTATACCGTATACGTATCCTTATATATAATATAAATACATATAACACATACATATATATATATATACATACTCCACAATGTCTTTTTTGTGCGCATATACACTGGAAGTGGCTCCTGATGGCACTGTTCTCTTCTTAATCACTGACAAATTCTCTTCTGAGCCATTGGCATTCGAAAGCGGCCCCGGCTTAAACACATTCTAAGTTAGGGCCATTTTTAGATTACAACGAAAAAAACTACAGGGGCCCCAGGTACGACCCCTAATCATCTCCATTCTAAGTTTCAGTGGAGGAATATACCGATACCAGAATTCTGTCTTCATGTCACAGCTGTGCCAAGATGGCACACAGGCTTTGATCGCCAACGCTCACTCTGCGCAGGCCTATGTTTCAGAAATGTTTCATGTCTCTCCGCATAGCGCGACTGGGATGCAATTTTGTATCACGACGAGGATGTACTCTGTTTGTGTGACGCAAATGACCTCAGTCCCTTCTTTGGTTCGAATCCGAACCTCAGTCAAGCTGGAGGGAATGCAACAACACCTGATTGAAAATGATCAAAGGCTCCACTTGTAGCACTTGCAAAGGCTCCACTTGTCCAGCTAGGCAGCATTTGCCAGTTCACTCTCTGCAGGGCCAGTGAGAAGCTTTCCCAAACACTTCTTGCAATGTGCAACAAAGTCCTCAGTGTGAGAAGCAGTGCAAAAATGCTCCAGTTCCAAATGCTGGTCAGCAAGTGGAAATGACAAATTTAGCCGTCATCAATGAAGTTAAGGACGCGGCCGACATCAGCGCGGCGTAGGTGACCGCCCTAGCTCAGCAAACGAACCCACAGGCAATACAAGGAAAGCTTGCAAGAAGAGAAAGAGTGTGTGTGCGTGTGTCCCCTCTGGAGTCACGAGGTTCCTTTTGGACTGTTTCGATTTTCTTTTAGCAGGGGGCTCGTGGACGCATGGATGGCACCGGCCAACGAAGACCCATCCATGTCGTCGTGATGCCAGACCTGATCAGTCTGGCGTACATGCTTGAATTTTAAGCTTTGTAAAGGTCTAATGAGTTCGGCAGTCATGCACGATACACCGTCAATTGTCGTCTCGATTTCAACTTGAGCTTTTGGCCCCTTCTCCTTTTGAAGACCTCGAGGTTCCATACAGATTTCTTGGACTGTTCAGGATTTGGGAACCCAGGTTGGCGTGTGGCAACCGCTTTCAAGTCAGTACGCAGCATAATCTTGAGTGTGTGCGCGTGTGGCAACGCAAGCCAATAAAGTAGCATTCCCCACCTCTCGTACGGCATGCTCTCGTGCCATTTGGTTGGAATCCCGTCTGAATTGATGACAACAAAGCCTGGGCCAAATCAGCTATCCTAACGTATATTGCATTTGACTGACTTGAAGACTTTGCACTGTGAACTCACGGTGACCCCTGCGCTACGATTACATTCGTCCATGGCACACATGCATACATTTGTGCAAACATGGACCAACTAGCACTTGACATGAAAGCCACCGCTGGACTTGAGTGACCTCAAAACCTCTGGGCTTTGTAATCTCATCACATCTCACAATGCCAAGGCTCCGATCACAGTTGGGAAGTCATTGAGAAACTGCTTTAGGACAGCATCCACCTCCGAAGTTTGGGCACCCGCCACGTCGTGATCGTCTGGGCCCCCTCTTTGCTGAGATACTCAGCTGTTTGAACCATAATTTTTGCAAACACGTACAGTATGCATCGTCTTTTCACTCGTCTCATGCTCGTGTGACTCATTGTTCTTCATGCATCATCAAATCTATTCGTCTAGCCTAGCACACGTCTTCCAACTCAGGATTTGCGCTTCAATCCCGGTCCGTTCTTGAAAAGGTGGCCTGATCCTCACCATGAGGCCTTAAACCAGGCTGAGACGTATGAAGAACTCGAGGAAGAGATGGATGCATTCACTTCGGTCCGCCAATGCTACTAGTAGTAATGCCCTGTGTTACTAGTAGCAATGCCCTTGCTCCTAGTAGCTTCTTGTTAGCTACTAGTAACTAGTAGCGTCCTTGCTCCTAGTAGCGATGCCCTTGCTTGTTTGAATCTCTAGTTTGGGAAGGCACCGTGTCTTCTTCTTTTCTCACAGCCAAGACGGGTTTAAGGACGCTGCAAAGGCCACGTTTGTGGCCCTTGGGGAAACATTTTCAATGCGGACAAAACAAACACAAACAACTATCTAGGCTCTACATGCCATGACAATAAATGATGCGCCCGAAGCACTTAGAATGCTTCTCGCACGATGGTTCTGCGTGAAATATCGTCACTACTATCACTGGCATCACTACTATCACTACTATCAGCATCAGTTTCGACCAAAGGATGTGTGTCATCGATGTCCGATCCGTGCAAGCCCATCAACTGTTTCCGCAGCAAGGAGTTTTGTCCTGCTTTTGAAACATCCTCTAGAGTGTCAACAAACCGTAAATGAAACTCGGTGAGGGGAATGTCATTTGCATCGTCGCCAAAAGGATTCTCCAGCTCTTTGGCGACCTCGCTCAGGCACCAAAGACTTTCAAAAAGCAAAAGGCAAAGAATAGGACCAGCAATCGGGGAGCGTGTAAACAGAATGACGTACACGGGTATGAAGCAAGAGAAAGCTGCCAGGAGGAGCCCCAGCAATTGCGCAAAGGGCAGTGGATATGGCACATCTGCAATCTTTAAGCAATTGTTGAAGCCCAGCATTCCACTTGAAAGCTCCTGGTAAAGTCGAGACTGTATTGGGGTTGCGATGTCAATCATCTCCATAGCGTCAGCTAGTTCAGAGAGGATCCAGTACATGGCAAGAGTTGTCGCATCATGAGCATTTTCCAGGATCTTCTTGCGCTCGTCACAAGGCAGCTCGGGAACGACGTAACCTGATTGCCCAGAGGGTGCGCACGCGCGATCAAAAAGATGCGTGGGAATCTAATTGAGCTCATAAGTCATATGCTGTCTCTGCACTCTCAGCTGGCCCCTTGACTTCACACCACAGCTTGCACTGTCCATCATTGAAGTGTCACCTTTCGACAACCTGTCTACAGCCACAGCACTGAGGAGTGCAAATGTGGCCCTGAGTTTCCGCTGCTTTTCCAAAAGATAGTCGATTTTAGACTCATTGTTGCTCTTTTCTGCTGCCATCTTGGTAACTTCAGCAAAGGCCTGGAATAGAGAGAAGGCATCTGTCCATTTGCTGTACATGAAGTGCAATTGTGTAACTGCCTCCCAGTATCGGTTCCATGCATTTTGCGCTCGGAACACAATGCAGAACGTGAGACCAACACCAAAGGCTTGGAATCCATATTGGTTCTGGATGGCGGAATCTAGATCCCCACTGTCCAGCCAATACTGAACACCACACCCCATGCCAGCAATCACCAAACCCCAAAGTATGGAATCCCATCGGTAGAAAACGCTTCCAAGTCTGGTCAGGCTCAGTGCGAAAAGGCTCTTGTTGTGATACAAAAGCATCTGACGTGCAGAATCATTTATGCGCAATTTATGAAAGCTCGCTTCATCACCATTCGCATGCCGGTGCAGCTCAGCCAGAGTCACGGCTGAACACTATACCACAGTCTCACTCCACCACTACACTGCATCTTGGCACCCTAGATGATATTGCAGGTTGATTGTTTTCCTGGGGTCTATTCAGTGTGGGTCATTGGAGCGTTGCTGAGGGTGGTGTTGGTACTTCGTGTTCCTAGGGTAAAAGTTAATGTGTAGTTAGGTCTGGGTCTGCATCGCAGTCTGTATGACCTGTATGTGCAAGGCAGTCTGCACATGACAGCGCCGGCTTGGGCTATAATCAGCAGGCACCACACCACGAGAATAATGTGATTTATCTGCCTGCCCCTTCAAAAGGTGCATTTACAGTGAATGTCATGTGATTATGCCAGTTAGCAGGCGAGCGAGCGAGTGAGGCAAGGCAAGGCCAAGCCAAGCCAGCAAAGCAAAGCAAGCATTGCCGTCGCGCATCCAAGTTTTGAACTGATAGCTAACGGATAGCTTGAATTGTTTCACACCTGTTTGCCACATTTATATATATGCTTTTGGTTGATGGTGGTTCTTTCAATTCCAGGACGTGGTGCAAGCACAAATGTTTGGGTGGATCAGGAAGCTCAGTGGAGGAAACAAACTGGGACGGGATGTTTGAGCAGTCGGAACATGGACCACACCAGACACCAGCCAGTAGTGTCTAGTGAATCACCTGCAGAACGTGCGCCCTGGCTGCAAGGCAACATAAAGCTACTTCATTCAAATCTAGGGAGACCGTGATCTGATCTGGCAAAGCTGCTTCCTATAAGTTTCAATGGAGGGTGTAAAATATCATTGTATACCCTCCATTTCTCAAACGCCAGAGTAGCAAAACAACTGAGAGGAAGTCTTGAGGCACCAGGCGCTTGAGCAAGACTTGCAGCTAGCGCCTTACAGGGCCATCCGGAATCCATACACACCGGTGACGATAGACTGCACTTGAGAATCTCACTTCAAGTAGACACAGCTGCTCAGCATGCTTCTCCGAGCTGCCTGTTGGACATACATTTGCGCAGTGTTGCCATGGTGGTCACGAAGTTCAACTATCCTTGGAAGCAAGTCTCAATAAATCTGCCAAGTTGTCGAAATGATCGTCAGTGAAACCTGTCCAATTGCCTGACCGTCAATCCAGTCTCCCAGCCAGTCTCTCATGGGCAAAGTGCGGTTTGCCAACCCGGGAGGAAAGCCAACTCAGAACCTCAGGGGCTCCATAAATGCTCAGGAAAACATTTGTGATGACCTTAGGATTGCTGGCTTTATGTGGCGGACTCCGCGTGATACTTTCCCAAACGCACTGGCCAGGATGTGCAAAAGAATGTTTCAGCTACCACCGCAGCAGGGTGGATCAGCCCCCATCAACAAGCAAAACCCTGTTCTTAAATGTCACAACAGGGGCAACCGAGCGCGATACACGCACGAAGTTTAGTGACCGTGACGATCTTCCCCCGAATTTTTGAAATCCAGCCTGCTTCGGCCGTTCGCACTCATAAGCTAGCCACTAACCGTATTCTAGTGCCAATAAAGTAATAAGTATAAATATATAATATGTGTGTGTTGTACACATGCAAGCTTTGTTGCAAGAGTGGCACGCAAACGCACGCACGTGCGCGCGCGCACAGACATTGTTGGTTGTGGGTGCGGATATGGGGGAGTGTAAGTACTGATGGGTAATGACGGTGCCCCATAAAAAGGTTGGTGGTGTGCTGGTTGCCACACAGGTGGAAGATGTGGTGGAGGTTGATGTGGTGTCGAGGGCTGGTGTGGTAAGGTAGGCCAGTGGTAGCGCGGTGGCGGTTGGTGTTGGTAAGGGTATGCCTGCCAAGGATGGGACATGGCAACAATAACTGATACGGTGAGACTGTCGCCCGATGAAATTCGAGGGTTCGCGGCTCAGAATAACTATAGCTGAGGACTGAAAGTTAGAATCAGTGTGCTGGCAATCCCGGGTATTCCCGGGTGACTTTCCTTTGAAGACATGAAGCCTTGAAGCCTTGAAACCCTGCTGACGACCTGAAGCCTAGTGACGACCTGAAGCCTTGAAGACCTGAAG